TGTTTAATTTTTATGTCAGTACAAATAAACGGCTACATACATTTTAACGAAACTCATATGAGTTGTGAAAAATTTATGTGCCCCAAAGGATCCTCAGTTTGAGAGCTTCTTTACACCTATTTTTAATGTTAAAAATTGGCATTTTATTTGTAATTCAATCACATTTGATATCGGGATGGAAGCTGAAATTGATCTCCGTTTTCTTATACTTTGGCTCTAGAGACTTATCCGGTGTCGCTGGCTGATGGATTTTATCTCGTGATACGGGAGGTCGCATTCTTTTACAGTCTTTGTTGATCTGACTCCAGGGTTAAAAAAGGTTCTTTCTTGGTTCCGTACATTAAATGTCTGAGTGTGTGTGCGCGTATGTCCCCGTTGCGAGTTTGGTAAAAACGCATCTTACATTTCCGATTCAAAAATAATTATTTTTTTCCTTGCATTTCAGCGTCATAGACTGAAAGTAACTGCTCTGATATCGATTTTTGTTAAATGAACGTTAAGCAGTTTTGCAATAATATTTTTTCTATAATATTCGTGCTTCTTTTTGATGACCTTAATGGTTTCCATGTTTGTACTCAGACACTGATTTTGTTGGGTATATAACATTTCATTTTTAAGTTAAAAATACATTCTGTTAAACACCAGTGACTTATTTATTCGTGTCATCTCTTTCAGTCAAAACACCTTGTCACCTTATTTGGAACTCATGTCTTGATCACACCCACCTTCTTCTATTTCTTAACCTTAAACATCTAAAACTTTTTAATTCTGGACCTTCCAAAGTAATATTACGTGCCTACAATTTCAACTTTCTAGAACGAACTGAATAAAATCCTGCCAAATCGCCATGTTTCTTACTTAACATTCTCCCTACTGCAGTTAGAAATCATTTTCCAAAATAAAAAGTGATCGTAATTCTGACGTACGAGAATAAATATAGTAAGGAACTTTAATGGATACGTGAATTTTCATCTTCTTTCGCCTTATACGCCTTACTGTTACCTTTCTCCCTGCCTCTTCACAGACAATCAGCAAAGACGTCTAACTGTGCAAAGTAAACAATAATCGAAGTCACAATTTTAATATTTCAGTCACACTATCCGCGGTTCACTCTACGATTATGGGCGCAGTTGACTCTGTGTGCTTCGGCTGTCTAGTGAATAACACAGCCACCCGCGCGATGAGAGAACATATAAAGGTAGAGAGACGGCATTGCTGTATCAAATTACTCGGCGAAGTGTTTCACACCGTTGCCTGAGTTACAGGAGCAAACTAGGCACTGCGACCTTACAACAGCGTGCAGAAATGAAATACTGTTGATATCAAGCAAAAGAGAGACGGAAAATGACAACTATGAAACAAAGAAGCCTCAAAATATAGCTAAACGAATAAAGTACCAAATACACCAACAATTTACGTAAAATAAATAAAACATTGCATAGAAAGGAGAAACAATAAATAAATAACAGGCAAATATTTAAATCCTGCAAATACTCAACTTGAAAATTATACAACATTCCAAAAAGAATATATCGTATGATAAATACGTACATAAAATACAATATTTTCCACGGAAACATCTATATATTTTTCCTTAAAGATTTCTGGCTTTGTGTATATTTAAATTAAATAAACATAAACCATATTCAGAGCTTATAATCAAGCTACAATTCTCCAAAACCTTCAAATTTAAGTTCTTTCACAAAGTTAAGATTTCCCTTAAAAATTTAATATCAAGTCCACACAAGAATTGCGAGATTTCAGAAGGATAACACATACACAGCAAGAAGTTTGGAAGACGAATACCGTAGTTTTGAAGATAATATATTTGATGGAACGCAACAACAGGGAAAACCTTCATCGACAGCTGTTTGTAAAGAAATTTAACATAGCCTGCTCCATAATTTATGTTTTTCTAACATGTAAAACGTCAATGCAGGGTATTCTAATGTTTACTTTTATTCTATTTCAAGACATAAAACTCTGTTAAGACATGTATCCAGAATTATGTTCATATTTCTTGCCTCAAAATTTAATATGTCTGTTTAATGAAATGATTGACAGACTTTACTGAAGTGTATTCAATAATTTAAATTCTCTACAGACCACTTATCTTGAATTGTAACATAATCCGTTTAAGCATCATCTATCATTTTACATCCATATTTCCCATTTCTCGTTCACGTTTAAGTCTGATGAGGTCAGACACAAAATTCTGGTTCCAATTGCAACCCAGACTACCGGTAGCCACAGAAGCAGACAAGAATTAAGGTCTCTTGGATTATGTTGACACTTGATAGTTTATTCTCGAAATGAGTCTATTTTGAAATTAGAATCTATTGTCGGTGAAACAGCCGCATCCCATTCCAAAACGTTTACAAAGTATCAAAGATATATCAATGTTAAGATGAGAAGACGGTGTGTAGATTAGTACCACATAAAATTAATTAAAATATTTCAAAATATTTCATAAAAATATCACAAATATACGTTGTATATTTTGTCTAAAAACAGAACTATTTCGTTCCATGATTTTTCACAACCATGAAAGTACAGCTAAAATTTCGTCAACTACTACTACGTCGTCATTAATGTGTCATAGAATTTTTTGTGAAACTACTGATACAAAACTAGGACGAAATAGCGCGAGTCACCATACCCAACTTCTTTATATCTGAACATATTCTGATTTGGTTTTGGTTTTTTTTTGTGTTTCTCTCTGATAAGACAAAGAAAAAATATATTTTGCAAGCACAGACAACCTCGGATTTCAACAAAGAAGCGAACGCGTGAAGAAATGGATTTTCGATTTCCTGCAAAAAATACATTCACAATCAAGGTCTCCGGTTTTTTATTATTATTATTATTAGAATTCAGTTATGTGCGCCTCAGAGTTCACAGGGACATAACTTTGTGGAACACACGTGCAATTTCAATGCATCATTCTCGTAAAGAACTTGTCACGCGAGATGAAAGCTGCCCTCCCCTTTATACAGCAGCCTATTGCAAAAGTAATTTACGTAAAATATTTCAACCTCCAACAAACATTTCCCTTAGGAATAAAAACAGCAGATACAGGCATACAAATTTGGAAATCAGAGGCCGGCAACAAGATAAAAAGTGGTGGACATTTTTTCAACACGCCGGCCACGATAAGACCATAAATATTTTAATTGGCGCAAGAACACAAATCTTTCAGTTGGCCACACTAACGTAACAAATCTAAAGTTTATTCCACACTTATATTTGTAGGAGTACACACACCTTCGCTGCCCAGTCGCTTCATCCATAAGACCGCATATAGTCCACAAACCCTGCAATGAAAATTAAGTCACGTGATAAGTTCCGCAAAAAAATTTGTGTTTATTCTCGTGCAGTTATGACGCAAGATATGAAAGCCGTTTTACACTGTCGAATTAGATGGGGTGACAGTCGCGACTCGTGAGTAAGCAAGAAATGTAAACCGATATTCTCGGAATTTAGTAAAAATGGAGGAAATAAAAATAAAACTTCAATGTAGGATGCAACTTACCAAGATTCGAACCATGAGCCTCCTAATGCATTCAAAATTTATTGCCCTACGAGCACCTGCTCCAGATGTTAATATTTTATATTTGATAATATTTGCAAAAAGAATATTTTAAAGATAATATTAAAAATGTAAGATTTGAGGTTTTCACAGCTGTGAGTATGAAGATTTCTGTCTTCTGGGTTGTAGCGCTGTGTAGTCTGGTCGATGTTTACCAACGTTTCAGAGGTCATACTGCCTCCGTCATCAGAGTATGAAGATTTCTGTCTTCTGGGTTGTTGCGCTGTGTAGTCTGGTCGATGTTTACCAACGTTTCAGAGGTCATACTGCCTCCATCATCAG